TGGCAGTTATTTCATGATTCAGGTTTTAAAGAACTAATTAATCCTAATTTGAACAAGCTGCTAAGGAAATGGATAGAAGGGCTTTTTAAAAGAGTAGAAAGTGAAATGAGTTGTGGGTGGATTGCAGATGTTTACTAATGCATGTGACTTACATTTGTCAGATTCCAATCAGCCTCTGCTTGTGTTTGTGCGTGTGTGTGGGGGCTGTCTGTGTACAGAAGACCAGTGTGCATATTGTAGCTGTGTGAGCTGGTGTTTGCACTGAAAATATGTGTGGGCAGTTGGAGCAATGCCATTTACTTTTAACACACACAAAGAAATTGTTACATTTCATTTTAGTCTACTATTATTAGATATACATTTTATAGCTTGATGACAGTTGGGACTTTTTCCACTAGTAATAATTATTGATCTAAATGTTATTTCCAGTAAACACAGTTTTTCTATTTTAGTGTAATAAAACAAATACATTTTTACTTGTGTTTTTTCTGATTGTGTTTTAATACTGCATTTTTTTTCTGTCAAGTCAGCAAATGCAATGAATATAATACAATATACTTTACTAAGAATTGTTTTATTCCTATTGTTTTTAATTAATTATTTTATTTGGATTGTAATGACCTATGCACAACAATAAATGTGTTTGCCATCACAACAGCTGTTTGTCCTGTTCATATTTGATGTCTAATGAAACTGAGTAAACATGTATTGAATGTAACCATCCCAGAAAAAGACGTTCACAAAATTCTATTCCCAGTGCTCTTTATTGTCAAGACTTTACCACACATTGAACATTTCCTAATCTAATAAAAAAAATCCAAGCTGGGTTTGCTTTAAAAAAATGGCCTCAAGAGCAACACACATTCTCGCTGAAGGACAGCTGCAATGATATGTTAATGATTACCTCACGTGTCACCGATTATGAACACAGAACAAAATTTGTCCTTTGAGGTCTTTTCAGTCTGAACTTGAACGTTATGCAGAATCTAGATTATCATTTAAGCATTCGACTCACATTGTTCTTGTTAACCATTTCCCGTTTACTGCATGTTTGTTCTACCGTGTGTGTGTGTGTGTGTGTGTGTGTGTGTGTGTGTGTGTGTGTGTGTGTGTGTTTTTAACCATACAGAGTATGAGTAAGAGAAGAATGAAATGAACAGTGAGTCAAACGCTGCTGGATCTTAAAGCACTTTGAGTAGTAATAGCACCCAAAAAACACAAGGGGGCAGTAAACTGTAAGGAAACAATGCAACAACCTTTATATATTACTTTTGGGACCGGTTTAGGTGTCATTATGTGTTATGTGATCATTGTTTAGTTTTACATCAGAAAGAAACAAAGCACACATCACCTGAGAAGATGTGTCTCTATGTAGTGTTTCCTTTATGCTGCCCTCACAGCAACATATTGAACTTTTGTTAAAAAGTTTTTTTTTAAAGGTAGGCCTCTTTTGTGCAATTGGGCAATATATTGACGAGGAGTTCTTCTTTTGGGAATGGAACAAACAGTGAGTTTATTTTCAGTCACCCTTATCGCTTTTGTTTTGACACAACATAATTCACAGTCTAATTATTTCCAAGCACCCTCAGCTGCAATATGGTACAATTTGTCAGAGGAAAAATTGTATATAATGTGATCAGCTTCATGAGATGTGCTCTTTTTATTGATCACTAAGCAATCTACATGTCAAATTCAGTTAAGGTGAAATGTAAACATAAAAAATGTCATTTTAAAACTGAAAACTACCTGAATTCTAGTCAACTTTTTTCACACCTTTCTTAAGCTTCTTTTCTCTTGAGACTAGAAGAATAAGTTCTCTGCTGAACTCGGGGTCAGCTCTGGAGCCTCAGCATAAAAAGTTAAACATCAAGCTGCAAAGCTAGAGTGGCCTCAGTCATGATTACCTCTCCACAGGTAATTCATTAAGAGTGTTCTCACCAGTGAATTTGACAACAACACGCTAAATGCAAGGAAATCTTTACAATTAGTCATTAAATAGCATGTAGCATGTGTGGTTGTCTTTCTATGTTATGGACTGTTATGGACTCAAAGCATGTACAACCCTGTCTGTCAAGAGATTTTTGTTTTTATATAATTTGATCAGCTTCATGAAATGTGTTTTTCTGTTGTTTAAGCAATCTAAATGTCTATGTGACTTTTTCACCTAATAA